GTAGAATCCAGTAGGCACGTTTCGTCCTATTTGGGACTCATTAGCCGAATATACCTACATCTCAAAGTTGATGTTCACTCTGGGAGTCGAACTCAGTACCGTTCATTTCAAACACCATCACGTTATCCACTTTAGTACTGAGTTCTAATAGCCACTTGGTTATGTAATGGGGTGAAGTTTAAATTCACTTGGTATTGTTTATTTGTATCTTTCCATTGATGTTTAGGACTGTAATTGATCGGTCTGTTCTTGGTATATCTGTATACTATGCGTAATGGTTAATAACGTGATTCCTGGATTCCAGTACTAGCTACAATTATTCATCTTTACTTATAATGTTTGTATATTAAGGCAATATTGAGGCAATGTGGTCACTAGTCTAGGTGACTCGAGACTACGTGTACTGTGTTAAAATAAGATGGTGGTTGGTGGTAGTTAACAGGAAACCCTGAATCCGGGTTTCGTTAACAAATTGTACCTGTATTATTGTGGAAACTAGTGCTCCCTGACGGATTCCATATATCAATAGTTGACATCCTCAGTCGCCTGAAGCAAAATCACCATGGAAAACCTAAAAGCACTGGATGGCCGCTTCGGCCTATTGTGAGACTCCTTAAAAGTGTGAACCAAAAATCCCTCACATGAGACTGAAACCCAGGACCTTTGGTCTTGCACGCAAACGCTTAATCACTAGAACACTGACCTGGCCAGCATACAACGGTGTTAATGTCTAACTCTAACTAATCCACGAAATTGTGCCACCGTTTACCATTGTCTTGAATGAGTAACTGCGTCACAACAGACACAGTTGTAATCCACTGGTCATGGCTTCTCACTAGAACTCAAACAAATACCTCTTAAAATCAATCACTTTTGGGTACAGGATGATTATGAACAGAAAAGAGGTTTTGTGGTGATTTTTAGCAATTTAATAGTTGAACTCATGAGTTGATTAAATCTAGACCACCATGGAAAACTTGAAATCATTCAACACCCATCTCGTTCTTATCTAAGATCCACACTGTTGATTAGTCTCATACTAGGATGAATTGATCGTCTAATACTTCCATGTTTTCAATGGTGATCCATTCATGATATCCATCTAAACTTGGCATACTTCATAATCTTATACTAATAGTTATTTATCTTTCTTTTTATTCAAACAAAATAAAGTGATAATCACTTAACAATTTGGAATCAATGTTGTCTGCATAGTTGTCGTAGATTAACTCCTAGACAATACAAAAATGTATGTAGTATAATAATAATAATTATTATTATTATCATTAATGATAAGTATGAAGTAAGTCAAGTATTCAAGCAATTATCATTTTGAAAATAAACACAAACCATTATATCTCATCAATAATTGTTAGAAAGAAGATTAAGTTTACAAATTATTGTTTACTATTTGAATAGTACAGATTTCTATGGTTTAATAATGTTTACTTATAAAATACATCGGATTAATCAAAGATGAAATAAACGTTTAATAATGTTCTTTTATGTTCGGTATACTAACTAGTGGTAGTAGTAGTAGTAGTAGTAGTAGTAGTAGTAGTAGTAGTAGTAGTCGTAGGTGTAGTAGTAGTAGTAGTAGTAGTCGTAGGTGTAGTAGTAGTAGTAGTAGTCGTAGGTGTAGTAGTAGTAGTAGTAGTAGTAATAGTAGTAGTAGTAGTAGTAGTAGTAGTAGTAGTAGTAGTTGTTGTTGTTGTTGTTGTTGTTGTTGTTGTTGTACTGGCAATAGCAGTAGTTGATTTAAAGCTAAACGTTCATGTAAGTGATCTGATCACAATCATTCAGATTGTAGTGACCTACTTTTATAAACAGAGCGCGATTGGTATAATGGAACCAATTATTATTACTATAACCACTTGTACCAGTGACTGTTTTACTGTACCTTTTTGTTTGTGTGCTAAAACACACATTCTTCCGTCGTTCGCAGATCAAATCGCGACACTACGGATCACCGTTGAACAAGTAATCGTATGGATTTCGTCACTTCAAGTCAAATTTCTTGATTATGAGAAATAATTGGACAGTGTGGACAGGCGTAAGTAAGTAAGTATATATTCCGATCCATATATCATTTATAATTATCATGAATCAAATAAATATGATTCATCTAATCGTGGCTGAGGAGTCCCATACTAAGACGAAAAGGCCATCCAGTGCTTCCAGGTTTATATAATTTTACAAATCTGAATGTTCGTTTTCAGTCTTAATAAACTTACTTACTTACGCCTGCTACTCTTCTTGGAGGAGCTTAGGCATACTACAAACACTCTCCATCTAACCCTGTCCTGGCAATCTTTTCCCGCTCTTTCCAATTGTTATTCATCTTTTTCATATCGGTCTCCATTTCTCCAAGTAATGTGTTCGTTGGTATTCTTCTTCTCCTTTGGCCTTGGGGACTCTAAATGGGGGCTTGTCTTGTGAAGCAGTTGGGAGCATTCATCAATGTGTGTCCTATCCACTTCCAGTGCTTCTTCCTGGTTTCTTCCTCCTTTCGAATCTAGTTTGTTCTTTCTCTCAGCAGGTTGTTGCTGATAGTGTCTGATCAATGGATCCGAAATATTTTGTATCTTCTTGTGTCTTCTGGATGATTGCGTTCGTAGTTCTCCAAGTTTCCGCCTCGTACAGTAAAACTGTGTTGACATTTGTATTGAGAATTCTGAACTTAGTGTTGGTTGAAAGACAGTTATTTTGTGTTTCAGATGTTCTTCATTTGTAGGTATGCTGCTCTTGCTATCCAGATTCGTGCCATCACATCTGCATCAGATCCACCTGCCCAGATATTTAAAGGCTTATACATCCTCCAAATCTTCTCTGTCAGTTGTGATTGGATTGGTGCATGCTGTGTTGTATCGGAGAATCTCGCTTTTCTCTTTGTGTGTATTGAGACCTACTGCTGATGAGTTTGCTGCTACACTGGTCATCTTCCCCTACCTTTGTCGTTGCGTGTGTGATAGAAGAGCCAGATCATGTGCGAAATCTAGATCGTTTAGGTGTATCCTAGATGTCCACTGTATTCTATGCTTCTCTCCAGATGTTGACATCTTCATAAGCATTTTTTCCTGACACCGGTCAACTGTCTTCTATGCACGATTTTGCAGTTCAATCCATCATAGGAATTCTGTATGATATTGACTATTTTTGGAGGCACGCCATAGTTTCGAAGAAGCTTCCATAGTGTTGCACTGTTCTCTCCACCTGGAGCCCCTCAGGGGATTCTGCTAGTTTAAAGTGCACATAAAGGAGGAGTGTTCGGCATATGATTAGTAACCCAATCTCATCGAAAACTCACTTGATAAATAAAAAAACGTTAAGCGGAAAAATAATTTTTAATAAAATGAACTTTTCAATTCAATAATTCAATGTTTCTTATTTGATACGTGGAAATGTTCAATGTTAATGTCAACTTGAATTCTTATTGAGAAATTTCAAGTTCTAATTTCTACGTTCAGCTTGCCATATGAACTACATAATCTGTTTCTTTATATGTCATAAACTAAGTTAGACATGAACACCACTGAATGCCGGCTCAGTGATCTTATGTTTAAGTGCTCGCTCGCGGAACCGGTGGGTCCTGGGTTCGAGACCCGCTGGGTGCTGGATCGTGGATGCGCACTGCTGAGGATTCCCATGCTAGGACTAAACGGCCGTCTACGTTTCCCAAGGTGGTCTAGCTTCAGTTGACTGATGATTTCATTCTGTGAAATTTCTAAAATCTCCACAAATCCCTTCTGTTATTAATTGTCTCTCTTCACTCATCAATAGTGAATATGAATTGAGATAGGGAGTTTATCTAGGACTAGTTTATAGTTCTGATGACTTAGGTTACTTGGCATAAATTTGAGACTAAAGGTTTTGAGTTCAGCTTTATAATTGTATAACCTTATGACCTTATAGTGTACGAGAACACAAGTGAGAACAATTGAACGTAATCCAATACAAAATTATAGAGTTACTGAGTAAAATCTGAGACCCATATAGTAAATACTTCATTTGCGAATTGTCAATCCATCATCTCAGGCTTCATTGCTCTGTGTAGGCCCGTTATTTAATCGTCATTTTGATCGAACGATATTGTCGAAAGGGCTCTCCACTTTAGTGGCTCGAGATCAGACTCGAAGGAGATCGTAATGATGATTGTTATTGGAATATATATGTCACCTATCCTCGTATATAATCATCGATTTAAATCGCGTTAATCAATAACGGATTTAGATAAGTTAAATAATGAGAATAGACTTTTGAATACGTATATTTTATATATAAAGCGAATGGAATAGAGAGAAGAGAAACGACACAGAGTGGAGATGGAGGGTAACCCAACTCCCATTTAACCAAGCGTGAATCATGGGTTATAGTTACACAAAAGTAAGTTACATACATGTGATGAGTAATAGGATAAGATGTGTACACACTCATATACGCTCATATAAAATCAGTCAAGATTGATAAGTGAATAAATATCAAGATCAGAATGTGATTCGAGTAGAATGAATGAAATGGTCTGTCCGAAATCTACAATAAGGTAATATGGGCTTAACATAATAACCGACACTATAGTTCTTTCGTTTACATATTTAATCATTCTTTGTTCTTATTCTCTTTCCTTAGATCATCTTAACCTTCTACCATCAGACATTTTAATTTCAATGGTCGATATATACTACTTATATCTATTGTTATCAGTAGCACACATCACACTATCATTATTAAGTCAAAATTATACATTATCAAATCAAACAAGCTTCTATTAAAAAGTATCTTATTATTGAACTCATTGTCTGATAACTATATAACCTTTAAAAACAAAACAGAACATACAATAAGCTGAATGATAAGATCATATGATGTCTTTACATTCCATGTAAATTATTTCAATCAACCAATGGTCTCTTAGTCTGAACTAATTAATTATCATCTATTTTAGAGAAGAAAACAAAAGGCGATAAAGAAAAATAAAAAAAGTGTAGTGTACTATCTTCATGATGTTGAATTGCTTATTTCATCTTCATCTTCTTCTTCTTCTTCATCTAAGTTTACTTCTATTAACGGTAGATTCCTCCATACAAAACAGTAAGTTAACAAATCACTTGTCATAAATATGTATATTGAAATGTATATGATTTATATTCACTTGATATTGTTTGATGTTTAGGACTTCAATGGATCAGTCTCTTATTAATATATGTGCATCCTTTTTCGTATTTCCTCGATATATCTTTCATTCACAAGTATGATAAGCAAAGATGGATAGTGGCTAGTAGTGGAATTCAGTTTGACATGAATTTCGTCCTACTTGATATTCGTCAATTGGATGTGGCTGCATCTAAGAGTTTTTGTTCACTCCGGGGACTGTAAGTGGATAGCACGATCGCATTTGAAGCGACCAGTACCGGGTTCGGGTCCCGGAGTGAACATAAAGAAATTTGAGGTGCAATGACACCCAGCCGACGAGTCTCAAATAGGACGAAACGCGTGCCCTGAAATCCATACTAACCTCTATCTATCTTTGTGTATATTATTTACAGCTTAAATACCTGGTTGTTTAGCCAAACAATAAAGAGTTTAATTTGAATAATGATTATTGTTATTTTAAAGGTTCTAATATGTTAAGGCGGCTTACTTAAATATCTAGACTATTTGTTCCTACGGCGAGACTCTTATTTATGGACGAGCCAATCAGAAGAATGTTAAATATTTCAAGGTTACGGTGCCAACTTCAGTACTTAATGCTTATGTACGGTCGGTTCACAGGGAATTTTGTACAGAACGTGATATTTGAGCAACTATAACAAATAAAACGACGAGACTATAATTTATGGACGAAACAGTCAGGTATAAGATAATAGATCTCGGATTCTAACGCCAAAGCTTTTCATCCATTTGGCTAAATAGGGTTTAGGCATTATAGCTGATGTCAATTCCTGATGAAAACCTTATATATTATTCCTAACTGAGGCAAATTACGACAGTTATCGCGAACTGGATAATAAAAGCACCAATAACACTGGCTACAGACATGTACTACAATATATACGGATGATTTGGAGAGAGTAAGATCCTCTATAGATTTAGTTATGTGAATCATGTCGTTATCCACAAGTAGCATTTTGTACACTCAACAACCGGAGTGCACATAAACAATATTGAAGCCATGTGGTCGAGGCTGAAAGAGTATTTGAGACTTTATCATGACTCCAGAGGCCGACTATTCTGTAGTGGTATGGATGATTTCCTCTTCTACATGCATTACGATTTTAGAACCTCTGAACCTCTTTCTAACCTTGACAAGTTTTTGAACCACGTATAAGAAGTGAATCCAATTTATTTCTTTGGTTTTGTATCACATATTTTTACTCCATACGGACTGTTTGCTGATTGTCTAATATTTCTCAAGGTCACTTAAGATTTGTTCAGAAGTCGTCCATAAATTAGAGTCTCGCCCTAAATCTAATTCCTAACCTCTGACCATCAACTGTAAATCATAATTCTAATTCCACACACACAGGTTTACAACCCTCATTTGATCCTAGTTATTAGGTGGACACTCTCAATGTCAGTTTTGCATCACTCGAAGGTCCTCCATAAATTATAATCTCACCAGATTTAGGGTTTTTCATCACGAATTGACATCAGGTAAAATGCCAAAACGTTATTTAACCAAAAGAGATGAATGAACTTCGCGCCAAAATCCGAGACCCATTATCCTATACCTGATTGGATCGTTCATAAATTATAGTCTTGTCGTATAATTTATTCAGGTGTCTTTATGAAAACTGTACAACCTTTCGTTGTACAAGTTACATAATGATACAATCAGACTCATCTTAGTGATTGACAATATGCATTAAAAAAGAAATGAACATCATTCAGATATTGATTTCTGAATTGTCAACATCTAACTATCGATCAATCAATATCGATCATCAGTATCGATCAACAAAAAAAGCTAAAGAAAAAGGAAATTAGTTGAAATAGTTTATACTGACCATTCTATATTTCAGAGAGTTTCCATGTCCTATTTGTTGATCGATCCTGACGATCAATATTGAATGATCATCAGTTAAGTGTAAACAGTTCACAAATTCATATCAGGATCATGTTTATTGTTTTCAATGCATATTGTCAATAACTATGATATCTTAGATAAGACTCTTTCCTAACTTATACTGCAAAATGTCGTGAAATTTTCACGAATTTTTTTGATTGAGATCATGAATTGATTGATGTTAGACCACTGTTGAAAACCTGAAAGCACTGAACGGTCGTTACGTCCTATTGTGTGACTCCTCAGCAGTGCACATCCACAATCTCACCTCTCGGGATTCCAACACAGGGCCTTCAGTCTCGCGCGAGAACGCTTAGCCCACTGGACCACAGAGATAGCATCCAATGGTGTTAGTGTCTAACATCAAGCAATCTACTAAATTGTTCAATTATCTTCCATTGTACTGAGATAGATACCTGTCTCTATCCGACACGGATTAGCTCAACTGATCACGACTTCTCATTGGAACTCCGAGCAATCTCTCATGAATCTAGTCACTAGTGAGCACATGGTAATTATCAGTATGGGGGGTTGTGGAGATTACTAAGTTTTTGATTGAAATCATGAATTGATTGATGTTAGACTAGCGTTGAAAACCTGAAAGCACTGAACGGCCGTTTCGTCTTATTTTAGGTCTCTTCAACAATGCACATCTATGATCTTGCCTCACGAGATTCGAACCCATTCGAAACTATATTAATCATATTAACTAATGTTTTCTATTTCATATTCTTTTTTTTAAAGTAAAATGTTAATGAAGATCTTTTGTAAAATATTGAACTTTGTGTCTATTGCCAGGTACTGATGTCAAACAACAATCAATAATCAGCAAATTGAAAGATAATAATGGTAAGCTATTGATTGAATAAGTTACAAGACGATAAAAGATTAAAGATTTTTTCTTTCTTTTGTGTGTGTGTGTGTTTGTAACGTTTGTTGTTTTTAAATTTACTTACTTAGTTACGCTTGTGACCCCTTTCGAGAAAGTGTATTCTACGCAATCGTTTCCTTTCTCTATCTTCTGATGGTTGACTAGATTATAAAGACATTGACAGATTGTTTAACATAACTATATGATGTATGTATTCACAATTGATTGATCACTTGGTGGTGATCAATGTCATGTATGTTAGGTCATTCTTCATGCAGATCGAATGCTATCGACGAAGTTGTTATGTGGCCACTAGTTTAAGTGACTTGAAATTATGTACATTATGTTGAGATAAGATGGTGGTTAGAGGTAGTTCACAGAACCTAACACACACAATATTGATCACCACCCGGATAGCCCAGTGGTAACATCTTTGACTGTGAAGCTATGTCACATGAGATCAAATCCGTTGGAGAGCATCACTTTCTTCAAGAATACAGTTACACCTTGCTGACAAGTGTCAAGTAGCACAAAACCCTATTTCAAGGGTTTCTTGTTGACTACCTCCAACCACCATCCTATGTTGTATGTATGTAACTATTCATTGAAATTTAATTTTTATAGTATTTGTCAAATAATTACAGTATAAATACTGACATTGATGTTTATCTTTAAGAAAGCATTTGTTTAACATCAAAGATGAATACAAAGTTTTATAGTTTCAATAATAAAGAGTCGAATTCGACTAATACTTATGGTCACTTGGTGTTGTTTTACTTGTATCTTCCAATTGATATTTAGCACTATAATTGATTAGGTCAGTCAATCAGCCAGCTACAACGTAGGACCCATTAGGGTTGATCAGACTTCCAAGATAAGTGAAGTTGTCGACGCTTTCGACTATTTCACTCCCTATCCTTAGTTCAGCTGTTGATGCAGACCAGTCCTGGAGCAACAACTTGCGTTTGAAGGGGAAGAAGCGCATCCCAAACATCCTGGTATTGTTCCTTAGTGCTACCAGAAGACTCTGCATTTTGTCAGCGTCTTCACCAAACAGGACTATGTCATCAGTGTATTCTAAGTCGATAAGTGGACCTCCTGGAAAAAGATCAATAACGAGAATTCAGTCGACGAGAATGTTATTTCCATCAGCAGGTCTATGATGAAGTTAAACAAAAATGGAGAAAGTGGACAGCCTTGACGGACACCACTTGAGGTTGCAAAAGCAGATGACAGTTCGCCATTAGCTCTGACTCGACTGGTACTGTTCGATTAAAGAGCCTTTACAAGTTTTATGTACTTCTGAGGTAGGCCTTTCAATGACAGACACTGACACAGAATCTCGCGGTCTACGGAGTCAAATGTTGCTCTTAAGTCAATAATGACCACTATTGTAGGACGCCGATAGGTATGCCTTATTCTAGAACCTGACGAATGGTGAATATGTGTTCGATGCAGCCACGACCAGGTCTGAAGCCAGCTTGATTCTCTCGTGTTTGCAGTTCACGAGTCTTAGTTAGGCGTCCGATAATTATCGAGACTAGTATTTTAGATACTATATTAGTTAAACTAATCCCTCTATGATTATCACAGGATGATTTTAACCCTGTTTTACACATTGGGACGATAAGTGAATTGATCAAGTAAATAACACCAAACGAATATAACTTCATTTCATTGCACAAGCACATGGCTATCAGAACTCAGTAGCTAAGTGGATAACTAGATAGTGTTTGAAGTTGACGGTATTGAGTTCGTGTCTCAGTGTAAACATCAACTCTGAAATGAAGGTACATTCAGTTGACGAATCCAAAAGAGGACGAAACGTTCATCTTGGATTCCATTGCTAGTTACTATTCATCTTTACTTATAATAATTATGATTATTCAAATGTTTTATTATGTCATTTCCAGATAATATTCAAAACATAATAAAAGAATTTAGAAATGCTGAAAAACAAATCGAGAAGTTAACAGGTAATTTTTTTAAAGGGTTGTGAAGTGTGTGTGTGTAGTTTAATTACATTCGATATAAGACAGTTATACATCTTACATCATATGGAAGATAATTATTCAATATAATGAATTGATTCGAGTGAGATGTGAACAATGTGATCGAGTGATGAGTAGTTTGTATATCACATTGAATGTGTTGAAGAGATTCTAATTTATGGATGACCATTGAACGAAACTTCAGTGACCGTGAGAAATATTAGCCAAACAGTCAGTATAGAGTAAAAATATATTATACAAAACCAAGGAAATAAAGTCGATACACTTCTTAGACGTGGTTCGAATACTTGTCAAGGTTGGAAAGAAGTTCAGAGGTTCTAAAATCGTAATGCATGTAGAAGAGGAAATCATCCATACCACTACAGAATAGTCGGAAGCTCGAGTCATGATAAAGTCTCAAATACTCTTTCAGCCTCGACCACATGGCTTCAATATTGTTTATGTGCACTCCGGTTGTTGAGTGTACAAAATGCTACTTGTGGATAACGACATGATTCACATAACTAAGTCTATAGAGGCATCTTTACTCTCTCCAAATCATCCGTATATATTGTAGTACATGTCTGTAGCCAGTGTTATTGGTGCTTTTATTATCCAGTTCGCGATAACTGTCGTAATTTGCCTTAGTTAGGAACTATATATATATGGGGTTTTCATCACAAACTGACATCAGCTATAATGCCAGGAGTTTATTTAACCAAATGGATGAAAGGCTTTCGCGTGAAAGTCCGAGATCTATGATCTTATACCTGACTGTTTCGTCCATAAATTATAGTCTCGTCGTTTTATTTGTTATAGTTACTCAAATATCACGTTCTGTACAAAATTCCATGTGAACCGATCGTACATAAGCATTAAGCACTGAAGTTGGCGCAGTAACCTTGTCTTCTTTCAAACGCTTCTGATTGGCTCGTCCATAAATTAGAGTCTCACCAATGTGTTCGATTCTATTTCCAATTTGAACATTTTGAATGTTCAATAATGTGAAGTTCCATACTGGGAAGATCTAAAATATTCGATACTCTTTAATTTTCAATAAAGGTGTTGTTAAGATCAGATTTTGATGTAAAACACAATAAACCATGTTCACTTGGTATTGTTTCACTTGTATCTTCCCATTGTTATTTAGGATTGTAATTGATCAGTCTGTTATTGGTCTATGTGCATCTTGTGTGGACTGCTTCGATATTGCTTGAAGTCACAAACTTTTTAAGCAAAGATGGATAATGGTTAGTAGTGGAATGGAGGATGAGCATTTCGTCTTATTTTGGACTCGTCAACTGGATGTGCCTGCAGTCCTGAAAAACAATCGGAAGATACAAGTCAACAACACTAAGTGAACATAACTTCACCCCATTGCATAAGCACTTGGCTATAAGGGCTTAGTAGCTATGTGCATAAAGTGATTATGTTTGAAGTGGACGGTATTGGGTTCGTGTCGCAGAGTGAACATCAACTGTGTGATGCAAGTACATCCAGTTGACGAGTCTCAAATAGGACGAAACACACTTCCTAGATTCCATTGCTAGCCACTATCCATTTTTACTTAAAATGTTTAAGTGACAATAATAAATTCAGTTGTTACTATCAAATAGCATACCGGTTATTTGGGAAACATTCATACAATCAAATTAAATGAATCGTCATTTCACATGTCAGATATTTTGTTCACTTTCAGAATTAGCTAATAAACTTCAATAAGGCTTCATGATTGTTGATTACCGTCCGCTTAAATATCTGAGCTACCTGTTCCTATCATTTAGACATTTCAACAAGTTATCTGTGTTCCTTATTTGTTTTTGACATAACTGATTGTATAGACTATTCAGTCAAGTTTAGAAAAACTTCACGACCTTTTCGTTGTATAAATTAGGAAAAAGCTCAATCAGAGATATTGTGGTTGCTAGCAATATACATCAAAAAGAATATACATTAATTAGATATCGATTAACTGGACTAATAACATCTAAACTAGTGACCATTCACTATATTATCGTCAAGGTCAACTAAGAAGTAATTCGAGCACCCAATTTTAGGGCAAAATTTGACCCATTTTTGGGGAAGTTTCGGGGTTTTAGGGCCATTTCCCCAAGATTTCCCTAAATCTTGATGAAGGTTATTTGACTTGGGGATTTCCTAAAAGTTAAGAGATTGAGTAAGACATAGAAACTCTTTGAAATACTTTGTTCTGAGTATTCTATATTGTATTAAAGATATAACATTGAATAAAGCCATTAATAATAATCAAATTTATTTCAGATCAATTGAAGAAGACTGAAGATGTATATAAACAAGTGAATAAATGTATGTAATGAAATGATTGAGTTATGTAATAAAATTTGAATGATTTTAGATGTGAAGTGTTTAAATGAACAGTTAGAAGCCAAAAATGAATTAAACTTATGGAAGGTTAGAATAGTGAGAATAATATTTCATATTAAATCCATATGGTCATTATCAGAAGGGGTGTTGTGGAGATTGTAGCAATTTCAACAGTTGAGATCATGATTCAATTGAAGCTAGACCACCATGGGAAACTTAGAAACAATGAATGACAGTCCGTTTCGTCTTATTATGGGACTCCCTAGCAGGATGCATCCACGACTCAGCTTCGCGGGATTCGAACCCAGGACTTATCAGTCTCGCGCGGGAATGATTAATCTCCAGACCACTAAGACAGTCGGCAACCGACGTTGTTAATGTCTAACTTCAACTAATCCACGGAATTGAGCAACACATCCACCATTGTCATCAGTGAGTTACTACCTCACAACGGACAAGGTTGAAATCGACTGGTCACTGCTTCTCACTAGAACTCCAGGATATACCTCTTGAAACCAGTCACTAGTGAGCATATGTTGATTAGTATCAGAGGGGGTTTCGTGGAGATTGTAGTAATTTCAACAGTTGAGATCATGAGTCAATTGAATATTGCGCACTACTGAGGAGTCCCACAATAGGCGAAACGGACCGTCATCCAGTGCTTCTAGGTTTTCCATGATGGTCTAGCTTCAATTGACTCATGATCTCAAATGTTGAACTCATATGGTTATTGTTTTACTTCTATCTTTTCCATTGATGTTTAGTGTTGTAATGGATCAGTCTCTCTTGTATTGGCATATGTGCATACTGTACGTAAGGTGTTGATAATGCCTTCACTCACAAGTAATATAAGTAGAGATGGATGATGACTAACAGTAGAATTCAGGAAACGCGTTTTGTCCTATTTGGGACTCATTAGTTGGATGTATTTACATCTCAAATTTGATATTCATTCTGGGACTCGAATTCAATACCGTCAACTTCAAACACTATTGTGTTATTCACTTAGTTACTGAGACTTGATAGTCACTTACTGGTGTAATAGGACGAAGTTTAAATTCATTTGATTATTGTTGTTTAACATGAATGTTCCGATTGATGTTTAACACTACAATTGATCAGTCGATATGCGCGTCCTAGATTCCATTGCTAGTTACTATCCATCTTTTTGTTAGAATGTTTAACATTGTTTCCATTTCATTTAATAATCCGAATTTTGAATATACATTGTCGTTTTTTCGGAACTCATTCACATTTCAATAGTAATAATTATGTATAAAAAATAGGATAAATGAAAGTGGTCGAAGCCTTCAGGGAATGTAATAGTATTGATTCATCTAATATATTATTATTATTAATTATTATTTGGTCACTGCCCGGATGCCCAAACCGAAGCAGGTGGTTTTCTTAGGTGGGAGTAGGGCCACACCCTGAGTATTTAATCTAAAGGTCTAATCCACAAGACAGTGGAGCAACGTCAGTAGATTCAATCCTATGGTACTCAATGACCAACGATTGGTTCATACGCCATTTGTTCTGCTCAGGATCCTGGAGTCCATGTGCAATATTGGTTTGGAATCAGGGCTTTACAACTCCCCTAGGTAGATCCTCCGTGTTCACAAACCAGGTTAAAGCGCCAGACATTCGTTTTCGTCCTCTTAATTTCGTAAAAATATACCCTCGCTATGAGAAGGCAATGAGTAGGATTACTCAGGCAGTGATTGTATGCACGTGGCCATGTGAGAGCATTCGGAGAGGGGGAGTTTACTCTCCCCGCCCTCGAAAGTGTGATTTGTTCAATCAATTACACCGTTACATCATTGGTTATGGAACATTGAAGAATAAGAATGGAAAAAACACTAAAAGAATTCGAATGAATACTTAGAATCTATGAGGATTATTACATTGTAATGTCATTAAGATGTATTCATTATATAATTGTTATTATGAATTTTTAAACTATTTTAGAATTTGTAAAAACGATAGAATCCCTAGAGAATACGTATCGTGAGTACTATAGTACACCTTTTATGTTTATTTATTTGAATACATAGATCATTTGATTTGTATGAGGGTTGTTATACTACCCGGGTGACCAAATTGAAACAGTTGATTTTCTTACAAGGCCACATCCGGAGCATTCGACTTAAAGGTTTGACTCACAAGGCAATAGAACAACGTCAGGAAATGCATTCCTATGGTGGCCAGTGACCATTAATTGGTTCATACGCCATTTGTTCTGCTCAGGATCCTGGAGCCCATGTACAGCATTGATTTGGAATCAGAGTTTTTCAATTCGCCTTAATGGACTCTCCGTGTCTAACAACCGGTTAAAGCATCGGATATTTACTTTTCATCGTTCAATTTTATAAACAACAGTAATGCCGCGAGAAGGCAGTAAGTAGGAGTTCTCTGGTAATGTTTGTATGTATGTGGTCATGTGAGAGCATTTGTCGAGAGAGAGCGAGAGAGGGAGAGAGAAAGAGAGCTGACTCTTTCCACTCTTGACCGTACCATGTCATTTGGTATAGATGAGTTGTTGAGATATTTGAATCCAGTAAGTTAGAAAGTGAAGTTCAGATAAACAACCAATAAATAACAGGTTACACTAGAATGAAATACTGGATCATAGTTGAGGAAAATGCATCATTAATTGAATTGACTGGTCTAAGTTATAAACACTTATCACATGTTTTTGATGGAGTTTTGTTCTTTGAGCTGGATGGTTTGGTCATGGAGATTTCATCGTGCTTCTGAACGACATCATCAGCGCAAACTTCAGATGTCCTGAATATCTTGAGTACAATTACTGATGAGGTCATTGATACATCATTCAAGAAAGTTCTATACTAGAACAAAACGTCCTATACGATGTCAACGGGTTATCAGAATGGGTTTTGTGGAGATTTTAGGAATTTCACTTATTGAAATCATGAGTCAATTGAAGCTAGACCACCATGGAAAACCTGGAAGCACTGGACGGCCGTTCTGTCCTGGTATGGGACTCCTCCCGCACCCTGTGAGATTCAAACCCAGAATCTATCAGTCTTTCGCCAGGTGCATAGCCAACTAGACCACTGAGATGTTGGACATCCAACGGTGTTAATGTCTAACTTCTACCAATACGCGAAGTTGCATCACCGTACACCATCATCAACTTTTATTCGACAATTGTAATAGGAAATATTATAGTACATTCTACAATATATACAATATTATCCAATATATATATATATATGATTTCATGTAACAGATAACCTTGAATTACGTAATCTTGATTGCATTTACAATATACAGAAATACATCTGAATAGATCGAAGACATTTAAAGACTGTTTTAACAATCAATCATCGGCTATTAAACGTAAGATTTCATGTTGATATTCTTATGTGTATAGCAATTTAGTTTATCAAGTAATTATAAGTAGTTATTTATTATTAGAAAGAGGTTTTATAAAGAGAATAGTTGAATTCATAAGTCAATTCAAGCTAGACCGAGTATAAACCGATAGGTACTGGTTTTGAATTCCACGAGAGAGATTATGGATATGTACTGCTAAGAAGTTCCATACAAGGACGAAATGACCATTCAATGCTTCCAGGTTCCACATGGTGGTCTATCTTTAATTGATTCATGAATTCAACTATTTAAAGCAACTATTTAGTTCATCGGACTTCTACTAATGCTTCCATAATCAAATTTTATCATTCAGATGTATTTCATGTTCTTATTAGGTTGACTGTTTGATATTTCATAGCTGATAATACAAAATAGATAGAAAGACGTTCGTAAAAGTTCAGTGATTCATTATCGGATAGTGATAAATTTCCCATTTGTCTCGTCGTAAGCATTGCTAGTGGAAGATTCTGTTGATTAAGTTGCAATATCGTCAATAATCTGTGTGCTTCTATATTGTGTGTACAAAGTTATATGTTAGATGGCTTGAGTTAGCCGATACAAAATAAAGTAAGTATCTGAGTGGCAAAGTTTTTCAGTTATAGTCTTAACAACACATTGACACATAGTTGAAACAATGAAGCTGTGTAACTCGAATTCAACAACAAAATACATCGTCTATTCTTTCACAATTACATGTGTACTTAGGACCTGAGTAGGAATGCGAACGGTGCATCTTTTTTTCAATAGTGAGGTATATTTGTACTGCGAGATAGTTGGGCAAGATATATCTATTCAACAGTCAACTGATAACTTCTATGAAGTTAATATTTTTGAACAGGAACACATATAATACAGACGTATTTACTTATTTATTGTAACACATAGATATTGGTACAAGGAGGCGCCAAATACATGTGCGCCACACAAATCTCATTCGATATGTGTGAGGGCTGTGATACTGCCCGGGCGCCCAAACCGAAGCAGGTGGTTGTCCTAAGGGGCCAAACCCGGAGCCTTCGACCTGAAGGTCTGATCCACAAGGCAGTGGAGCAACGTCAGGAGATGCGGTCCATGATAGCCAGTGACCAACAATTGGTTCATACGCCATTTGTTCCTTCAGGATACTGGAGCCCATGTGCACCATTGGTTTGGAATCCGGTTAAAGCGCCGGACATTCGCTTTTCTTCTTCTCAGTTTCGTAAACAACAGTAATGCCACGAGAAGGCAGTGAGGACTTCCATGGCAGGGGCTACATACGCGTGGCCATGTGAGAGCATTTCGAGAGGGAGAGCGGACTCTTCCCACTCTCAGTCGTACCAGGGCATTTGGGGGCATACAGACGTAGGTGGTAATAAGTCCTGTCAGATTAGATTGATTTATGAACTTTCAAATCTCCATGATGTAATTTACGCGATGGATTGACAAATGACGAATGAAAAATATATCATGATCAATATAGAACTTCATAATGTTTTATTATTTCATTATTTTTCCAAATGAACAGAAAGGTTATTGGATCATCCAGAAGAGAAATGTTTTGAATTTATACCACACGATGATAAAAGTAATGTTAACATAATAATTCATATAATCCCACACTATTTCACATATCTGAATACTTTTATAGTTTAATTCATGAGTGAATTGAAGCTAGAACACCATGAAAAAATTTGGAAGCAATGGATGAC